CCAAAATGTGAAAAGTGATTTGAATCAAGAGATACTTTGCTGCCTGTCGATTCAGATAATACGCTCTTCAGAAAAAAAATTTGGACCGATTCTGTTCCCCGTATAAAAAGTCGGTTTTGCGCTAATGCTTTTTCTAAGAAGAGGTTTCGTCATAAAAATTAATGGAATCAGAGAAAAAGTATTCCCAAGTAGGCAATCGACCATGGATGATCTGTTCGGACTAGTTTCAGCGACCGTGAAGTTCTAGAAAGTTTTCGAGTTTTCTACCGATTTCTGAGGTGTTGTCTGCGTCTAGAGAACACCAATGATAATTTTTCTTCAGTAAATCTTTTCAAGATGTTGATCAAGAATTTTCAATAAGTAGAATCTTTACAGAACTTATACAGATTTTCAATTTCTGCAAGACGTGGAAAATTAAAACTAAACGAAAGAGGCAGATAAGCACGGATCAGTGTTTTTAATGATTATAGTCGGACAAGCGCGAGCAAAACGGGTTTCTATTTTGAATAATGAATTTCCACTCGGTTTTCCACACTGAGAAAAATATATCCTACTTTGTTTTCCACTTTGCTTTTGAGAATTTTAATTTGGTCTTTTTTTCAACTTTTTTGTGTTAGAAAAGACGTAAGCAAGCAAAGAATAAGCAGAGTCCGGAAGATAAATTTGTGATTAATCGATCATTTTCTTCATCTCAACAATCTTAATTAGAAGGTCAAAATAAGGATTATAATCAGGTTGTACTACCTGGATTACCGGCACAATCGTTAGCTAATAACAACAATATTCTAGTTCCACTCTGAAAAAAATTCCTATTAAAAACACTGGCACGGATGATCCAACGATTAGATCTGATTCATGTGTTTTTCCTTTCAAGATCAAATACACATGCACGTGCTTTCATCTTTGAGAGATAGGAGAAACAGGCAGGTGTGGAACACGACGAAAAAGATTGCATGACTCATGTTTTAATTTCTATATCAGTGTTCTTTCGCAATAGCCGTCTTCTCTAGTACAAAATTAAAAAAGGTTAAAAAATCAGAAAAAGGCCCCAAAATAAGAAAAAGCAGAGGACTTAGGAACTCTGTAAACACTTAGCAAATGGGACATCTGTTTTTTTATAAAACAGATGATGACTTTCTGTTAAGCGAATCATTTTTTGAGAACGACGTGATAAAACGATAGAAAACATTTCAAAAGAACTTATAATGCTCTCAGATGAAGCACCCAGTTTATTCTGCCTATATACTCAGCGGCATATATACAAAATATGCTTATTCACCAAAGTTTTATCCATTAATGCCACTTTTTTGGATTTCATATAATGCTTTTTTTTTACTTTGAGGTTAGCCATTTTGTGGTGCTGTTATTTGGAGCTAAAAGGAAACAATGTGGATGTCCCATAAAAAAGTAAGGTAAACTTTTTGTGATTCGTCCAAGTGTTTGATCACGCTACCTCATTTTTTTTAACTTAAGTGGAACTTAGATCACACTTAAGTTAAGTTTCCTAACTTGATGAAACTGACCCAGGACACTTCCAAAAAAAGGATTTTTTAGTTATATTTCGTGGACTGAACAATTATGAAATCTTTAGTTCCATTGACTTTAGTTTAGGGTCTTAAAAGTCGTTTGCAGATATAAGTTGCTAAAGTTGAGGGGCCAAGCGAGTACAGACGAGTGTTAACTTGTACTTACTTCACGTTGAATGAGTTTGTTCATTCTTGTCTTGTGCTGGGGTCCATGACCAGCTGCATGCATGCTGTTCTTTACCAAAAGAGTCCATGCTGGTGTATTCAATAACTTTAAAAGATTTATCGAACAAAGTGTATAATTTAGCTATGCAGTTTCGAAGCCATGTAAAGGAAGTGCTATACGGGCTAATGAAGAAAAAGAAAGAAAGAAAGAAAAAAAAGCAGTTATAGCAAATGTTATAAAAATAATAATAGGATCACTGCAACAATAAATAAAGAGAAATACTTGAAAGGGATACGACCATATTGTACAACAAGCACTGGTGGACTGTGGGCAAGAAGCTAGCCTATACGTATGAAATGAAGATAAGACTTTTGCTTGATTTCTTGTAAATAACTGAAGAATAATCATTAAAGAGTGAACGTGCTTTTCTTGTCTTACATGAATATCTAGCTTGATGAACAGACCATTTTTTGGGGGAAAATTTATTTTGTTTGGTCTAGATAGTTTACATAAAAAAACGAGATATCTTATGATGTGTATTAGTTTCTGTACGAATTATTATTAAGTTTATTTTTTTGTTTTTGTTCAAGAAAAACAACTTTATGGAGATAATTATTCGTTTTTGATAGTCGAACGATATCTATTGTTGCATTTCCGTTTTATTCATTTCACAAACTTTTTAAACGATGATTATTAACAAAAAAATGCCATCATAATGGGTACACGTTTATCTACTGGATCTCCGTCATCAGCACATGTCCGTAGTGGCAGTACAACACAAACAACAACCACAAGTAGTTCTTCGACACATAATCGTGCACATCACCATGGAGGTACAAATCATTCAACAGCGGCAGTTGTTAGCAGCGGTCATAATACGAGTAGTGCCGCAGCAGTAGGGGGTCGAGCGAATGCACATTCACCATCCGCTGCATTTCGTTTGTTCAGCCGTTCAAGGACTACATCTTCTGGCACATCGTCTGTCATTGATCCATCATCATTTAACTCAAGTGTGTTACGCTATGTTGTTGGTTTAGATGCACATCCACAAGATTCAGACGCCAGTTCTGACGAGGAATCACCAAGAGCTACCAGAAGATTACATCATTTCTTATTTGCTTTACGTGGTAAGTTAAATGGTATGTGTTCCATGAATGATTTTTAATTTGAAAAACATCAAATGCAAGATTAGATTATTTTATGCTTTCTTTGTAGACATACAATGTCCCGTATGCAGCAAGACTATTCCATCAGACACGTTTGATGTTCACATTTTACAGTGTTTATCGAAACCAAGAATTGATTATAATGGTAAGAAACTGAAAACGGTCTAATATCTTTCTATTGGCCTTTTTCTTGTTTATTTGTAGAAGACGTGCTAACTGAAGATAAAGGTGAATGTGTTATATGTCTGGAAGAATTAGAAACTGGACAAAAAATTGCACGATTGCCATGTCTATGCATTTATCATAAACAGTAGGTCATATTGATGTGGATTAGTTTTCCCAGTTAGAAAACTTAGTACACAAAGTTTTCTGCATTACTTCTACTCCTTTCTATTCAAAATAAAGGTAGTTTAAAATAATAGAAACACTAGAAAGATCAAATTTCAACTACAAAAATAAATTCAAAAATAGAGTGAAAATCTCTGTTGCGATGAAAACATTTTGTCTTAGATCATTTAATAGTTTTGAACCGTATTGAAAGTGCAATATAATCATAGTAGACCAGTTGTTTATGTGTTTTTTTATATTTTTTAGCTGTATCGATGAATGGTTTCGCCGCAATCGGTGTTGCCCAGAACATCCAGGGGATTAAAATTATTAATATTTTGCTCATGTACGTATTTCCTGTTTTCCTGTTGTGTTGTTGAGCTTTTCTAAGAACAATGTGTGCAACTGCTGTTGACAATTTACTTCATTTTTTTGTATCTATATGTAACAGCAATTTTTTACCACAAAACGCAGCAAGGACCATAGAAGTACACAATCCTTCTCCATAAAGCGCATTGTTTTTTTTATATCAAACTCTCATACTAGTGGCGTTTAAAACGCTCGATTTTTTTTTTTTCTTTTTTGTATACAATACTCCTTGAGCAAGCGACTTTTAAATTTATGGACGTTGTTCTGCGTACTGTTTTCTCTCTTTGACCTTTATCCGTCCGAGAACTTGGGGTGGTAGAGAAGCGGAATATGGGCCAATTATTGTCTGTTTTTTGGGAGCTTTTAAAACAGATAGAGAGATGACTCTTAACTGTGATTTATATATATTTTTTTGTGTTGCTTGCTTTTCTTTTTTCCTAGTTCCATATTCTTGTATACAGTGAAGAATATTGACGATTCTTTCTTAATGGACCTAAGTACCAATTGTCCTTTTTTTTTTTTGTGTATTATTATGCACGTCTTTCATTCAGAAAAAACAAACACTACTTAAATTAATCTGTACCTGAGACTCGACAACAAACTGCAACTCGAGATAAAATGAGCTTTTTTTTTTGTATTTCTTATATAAAACAGTGAATAATAATAAATACTATATATTTGGTTTTTTGACGAATATAGAATCTATTTTGTCTCCATTTATTTTTTTATTATATAATTCAACTTTCTTGTCACCAACTAGATGGAAATTATCCTATGAATAATATAGAAAAGTATGCTACATTAATTTCATGTGATCTCTTACATAAAGTTACCTATTGTAATCTGACACCGGTATAACTAATAATTTTAAGTCTATTACGCTGCGATAAACTATCGAAAAAACCTAAGTATTATTTTCCTCTCTCTTATTTGTTCATCAAAACTGTATGTACTTCGTTGTTCTTATTTATCGCAAAAAATTAATGTAATTTCATATTTTTATTAAATTGTTTAGTTTTTTTGGAACAATAGCACTCTGTCAGCTAAAAATTTCATTCTGTGGATTTTTCAATTGTAGATTTTCCTTAAATCTAAACACCCGGGATTTTTACGAGCTGTCCGTCAGCGTTCTTCGGGTTTTCTTTGTTGCACTTTACATACATTGTAAAAAGACTTGCCGAACCTTTTTTTTCTCAATCTTCATGTACTCTTGTATATTTTTCACACTTTATTTGTGTCTTCATTAATATATTTTCTTTTTCGGTTTTTGTATAATAATAAAAGCTAACGAACGATAAATAACAACTATCGCATTAATAAATGTTGAATAATTATCGCCTTCAAATTACATTCAGAATGAGGTGTTAAATGCCCGAGCGGCGCTCGGAGAAGTATAGGACGACTTACGAGAAATTTTTGAAATTTTCAATTCTTCTACTTCCGGAAGAGGCATAACTCTCTTTTTCAGGTTATTTGATTTTTGATGCACTTGACACGAAAAGATAGACAAACTTTCAAGTTAAGTAGTTATACTTATGAACTTTCTTGTCCATCATTCTATTATGAGTAAAATCATATTTCAGAGAATCTAGATTTATATAAGATAATTTAACTCCCTCTTTGATTAATTGATTTATTTTGATATATTATTTTAAGAAAATATGTTGCATTTGCTATTGTGCTTCCAGGAATCGAATAGAATAGTGTGTTTTTACATTTTTGACATATTTTTTTTTTTTACTTGAAAAAGCAGAATATAGTTGGTAGAATGAATGTTCTACCCAACATCAGTATGTTGAACTGTTAAATATTCCTCTTTTCTTAAGTTCTTATTGACTGCATGATGAGATGATTCGATTTTAATTGTTTAAGTTTATCGACAATATTTGTCTTACGCAAAACCCGAGGATTGATCTTAATAGAGTACTACTTTATGAAATAGTACCTGCGAGGAAACCATTACCGATGGATTTATCCCAATTTTGACTGGAAGATATATTATTTTAGTGTTGATCACGAATTTGATATTCATTTTCGTCCTTATGGCTTTCTTAGCTCAGTCTACTCTACTTTTATGGACATGTTGACAAAGTTATCTGCCTAGATTCTTAATCAAACGCAGTTTTTATTTTGTTACAAACTTTTGCACTAGCAATGTTTTTTTTTTCGTGCATCCATGGCTATGCCAGAATAAACTGAACTGAACTGAACTGAGATCACCTCTCCGAAGGTCCATCCTTCACTTTCAGATAAAGAAATTCTGATACGGGCAGATTGTAGATCACATCGAGTTGGTCTGCAAATTTTTCTATATTCGTAATAGTGCGCTATCGCACAGAGCCCTTTTTTTTTTATAAAATTCGACTAACGCAGCGTTGCATCTATAATACATTCCCTTTCTAATGCTTAATCTTTAAACTAAATTTGATATATATTAAATTGTTAGCACAAGTTTATATCGTTTCTGAAAGAACGTACACACAATTGTGTGTGTATGTGTGTGTAAACCTATAATGTTATACAAGATCCAGTTCAAGTACAAGATTTGTAGATGAAAGACTTGCACATCAATAAAAAATCAACATCGACATTATCTTGTTAACGGTTTTCTCGTAAATATGCGCATAAGAAGAAAATGCAAGCTCTAAAAATATATTCTTTATTCTATATATAAAAAAGTCTACTCGTAAATAAACGGGATATAAAACAATAAAATTCTAGTTACTTTTCTATTTCTGAAGACAAAAATCTCCAACTTTTGCGGAACAAATCGTCTTAAAATTTCTATTACAACACTTTATATGCTTACATGTTTGTATTCACTTCATTTTTTTGGAAACGTAAGATAAACTAGGACTTCACATTCACATCAAAACTTTCTATGCTTCTTTCACATATGACTTCATTATACTATCTGACTTTGACCTTTGTTCACTATCGAATGCTTCTTCTACATATATTCTTTATTTTCTTCATCATATATAAATTTTTTTATACTTTGAACTTGACTAGTTTTTTTTATTTTATAAATTGTATTTATAGTTTTGATTTATAGAGCTATTGACTTATAAAATATAAAACTAGAGCGATAAAATGGATAAAAAGCAGAAAAAATCTTGAAAAAATGGTAGAATTAATCTAGTATATGAAAACTGGAAAAAAATAAAGAAGTAATGTTGATTTCCGAATATTGATTTTATTCGTAGTTTTGATTTCGGTTAATAAAATAAATTAAATCTTTTAATTAAATGGAAGGAAACACTAATTCCAGTCAATTAACTTTTTAGTCGATATTACTTAGTCTTATAACTAATTTCTGACTTTTCACTAAAAGAATGCTGATTTTAACTGATCAAGTGCTGGGTGAAAGCTCATTGCGCCCCTCCAAAATAGCTTCTCTTGGTGAAAAGTCAGAAATGAGCTATAAGTAATGGAGACTGAAAAGTTAACTACGTGAAATCATTTTTGTCTCTTAATTAGAAAATTTATCAATCAGTATAAAACCTACTAATCCAATCAGAATCAATTTTTTTGCGAGATAAAAAAACATTTGTTACATCCTACTATGATGTGAAATAGAGCGTAGCCGTTTGCACTTGACTGACGCCTTTCCTCTCAACTAATGGAGACATGTTTTACTAACAATTTTGGATCGAACTATAAAGTACACAAAAAAAAGAGAAATTTATCAAGGTGAAGCATGATTTCCTAACGACCCACCCAAAGTGGGCATTTTTCTATAGAGCAGGCGGACATGTGATTTTTTAGTTAAAAAACAATTGTTTTCGCATAACATTGTTTAACTATGTCTCAAATATTAATATAATTAAAAAAGTCAAAGTCGAAAAACCGCTGAGACACTCACCCTAAATTTTTGTCAAAAATGTCTTTATTTGTAAAACTAACAAATGATACGCCATTCGACGCAGTTTCATGCGCTGATTCCAAATATGTCACTAGTTTTCAATAAAAGTGTTTTTGAGTCGAGAAAAATAGATTTTACTCCCCAAACCAAGGCTTTTTAGAAAATGCATATCAATGTCCAGTACAAAAACTGCATTCATAATGAATGCAGGACATGACCACGAACATTTTGGTAATTTGAGTTAGATTCGACCTGCGCTAACTTGCTCAATCTCATTATATTCTAAGCACCTATACGAAACGAGGATTAGTTTGGAAGTTAATCTTTTTTCTCCTAGATTCTAGGACCAAAGTGGAAAATGTTTTCATTGATAGATAACTGAGCATGTCTAGATTCGGAATAGGCACTGTTTACAAATATAATTCGCCTTAATGAAATAAAAAAATGTTTTTTCTCCGAGGTCTCTATCATTTAGGCTAGTTTTTGCTCACACATTTTCCTAAAGCTGAGCATTTGAAACAAAGTTTTTTACATCATTAGATAACCCATAGATCGAACTATACGTGACAGTATTTGAACCTTGAAAAAGCTCACTTTTAATTTTTTCACCAATTGTCCGCCTGAATGCCCACTGTGTCACGTGAGTATTATTTTGATTTTTGTTAAACTCATTCACGTCAGTCTGTATCAGTGTTATTTAAAATATCATTTTGCATTAGACACATTATTATTAGGCTAATGATAATATGATCATTAGAATGATGATACTCTATATATTTGGTAGATGATAGAAATAGATAAACATATTATTTTTTTGCATGGTTATTATTATCGTAGATCGAGAACAAATTTCATGTTTACCGTGATATGTGATTTTTACGAAAAAATGATTGAATAGGAAATATGGAATAAGGATAAAACACATTCAGTGATACATATGTCAATAATGATAATAGAGCCGTAGAAAATAACTAATGTTAACATTACTTATTTGCTGCGGCTCTAATATGACAAAAAAAAGATTTTATCAATGTGTCAAAACTACTTTGTATAAATTCAATGATAGTGAAATAAACGTCAGAGAAGTATCATCTGTTAGAAAAAAGTTGAGTGGGCTTTATATAGGGCTACCCACGTATGAATATATTTTATTATCTGTGTTATCCTCCAAGAACAATGTTGATTTTCTAGATATTAATCAAAGTAAATGTGTTTGTTCGAAATCTACCAGTATTAGTTTAAACTATTTCATTTAAAAGAAGAAGTAATAACTAGTAATGATCACAAGCGAGTGGGAGGCGTTTATAGTTTTGTTTAGGCAGGTAGAATACCGTTAAACTCGTCTTGTTTTATCGATAAAACAAACAACAGCATCATGAACTTCTTTCATTTCATTCAGACTTAAAGGTTTTGCTAATAACAAAAGATCTAATGTTACTGTACCTAAGTGGTTAATGGAATCAAATAGAGCTTTCCTGTCTGTATTGTACCGCGAATAATGAAAAAAGTAATGGATCAAACTTTCTCTTCTGCCGCAAGCACACAATTCAGTAACACTGCTTTTTAAGATATTTTTCTCATTTAAACATTGTTTTAGAGGGAGAAGATGAACTCTGCATCTTGTATAGGCTACCTCCAAACGTCGAGGAATATTCACACGCAAACATTTTCTTATATCACGACTATTCTTTAACACATGAAAATAATCATTTAATTTTTGCTTGAAAAGATGTATCTTAAAAACTGAACTAATCGCAGTTGGAATTTTATTCCATTCCACTGGTAATATTGCAAAGAATTAGCAATCTACTTGTGAGGTTACGAATTGTATATTATCTTCTTTTGTCAACTCTTAGGTGATATGTACTCTTCTTTACACTCAGTTGTACATGGTTACGTAAATACTGGGAGGTAAGACCTCGCAGTATTCGGAAAAATAATAATAAACGCATTTGCAGGAAATGTTTTCGATTGGCTACCAGTACAAGTCATTCAAAACAAGATTTGTTGCTGTTCTGCTTATAGTACCTGTTACAAGTCGGGCTGCGCGTTTTTCCACACCATCAAGCTTTTGAAGGTTATACTTTTTTTTACTGATTGATTGAAAACAAAGTTTTATGGTGGCCGAATTTTTTTAAACATAATAAAGGACCTTTAATTATCTTTATCAACTCGTCTACATTTATGAGATGTATTGTCTCTGTTCAATTTTAATTTACCAATTCTTAAACTAAATTGAATTGCATATTTTGGAAAATCCGAGTCTAGTTGTACTGATAACTCTGACTACATAAAAGATATTTTATCAATGTATAGTTTTAAACGTAAATTAGACTAAGAAAAAACGAATACTTTACACTTTTAGCCACAAACTGCTTATGAATAAGCGACAATGTTTTCGTCTAAAAATGAAAAGCTTCTTTCTTCGCAAACAGAATAGATTAAGCATGTAAATAGGAACGTAGATATCATATTTTGTATGATTTCATTTTATTATCCATTCTATTTCCATTTTTAATTTTAGCTCTTCTTTGGGTCCATACCGACCTAATTCTAGAAATTCTATGATAACATGAATAACAAATATTTAATAACTATTTGTTTCCAGTTTCTCAGCTAGACAATACACAGTGGACAATTTTCAATAGGCACGCGGAAATTTGTTTCAGAGCGATTTGTTGAACCGAAAAATTTGTTTTTAATAGGTTTTCGTGCGCGCTCTTTCTTATGGCATCCGTATCTCAGCTAAAATCTGGTTTTGTGGTGGTTTTCCAGAGATCCAGTCTCTTGGAAACCTTCAAAAAACCACTTTGAAAGTTTTTCAACAACACGATTAGATTCGTTATGGCCGAAAACCTATAGAAAACTGGTGAGAAAACGTGAAAAAAAACCAGGGACGATAAAAATCGATAAAAACGATAAAAATCCAGGGTTTTTGTAAAATCGACAACTTTGTCCAGAAATGTTTGGGCAAGTTTGGGCATTCCATCTAGACGTGCCATATACAGAGGAACAATTGCTGAAAGTTTCATTAAAAACTGAGCTTGGATATAGATGGTATGCCCACTTTACTGGGCGCATGTTTCCGAAAGACATCTCATGCAGATAAAAATCATGTTCTTTCCTTTTCGCAAACCCGTTCGGATAAAAATTTTTTATGAATCAATAGCCCAAGTGCGCAGCTTTCAGAATATATATGTTACAATTTTAAAGTGACTGCCTATTTAACAAGAGAAAACGATTTTCGTCGAGTTGTAGCAAAAATTGCAAAAAATTGGGACTTACTCATCTCGACCACTTAAAGCATTTGGATCAAATATTTTTCACCATTAAATTGGCCATTGGCTAGTGTATATAAAACACTATTTAAATCATTAAAAAAGTAGCTTTCGTTTTTTCACCTAATTTCCATGTGATTGCCCCCACTGTGCAGTATGGCCTATAAAAAAGTTTCAGGCATGCTTCAGGTATACTTTTATATAATTATATATCCCTCTATTCTATTTTACGTGCTGTAAATAAAAATGTGCTTCTAGTGCTATATTATCCAGGAGTGTAAACTCTGATAAATTGTATCTATTATTACTTTGTCACGTCAATACTTTAGTTTATCAAATAGAACATGTAATCACAACCGCTGTCAAATCCCAGATCGTTAACCGCTATCCCCAAAACAAACAGCATAAGAACGATCTGTTAATCTTACCGTACACTGCCAGTTTCAGGAACGTCAATTTACGATCTAGAAACGGGCAGTGTCCGAGTGGAGTTCATATTATATACCGTAAACGGATCGCTTTCTGTCGGCTGAAAAACGGCGACTTAGAATTTTTTCTTTTTCTCCTATATACAAGTCAACGAAACTTTTGTGAATCGTTGGTTTATTGTACAACCGTACCCCATAGGATCCTGTCATTATAATGTATCTTCTAGTGAATATACTTGATAATAGGTATCCGAGCACTTGTATTTATCTTAGGTACCTATGCGGGTACTCTGCTACATGAATGTCATAGGTGCTTGACATTTTTTTTCAAGTAAATATTACTTAAGAAGTACCCAATTACTTGCGCTGGATGCAGGTACAGGTTTTTTCTGTTCACCGTTTTGTGTCGCGTTCAGACATAGATGAAAGAAAAACATATGTTTACGAGAATGATTGCGTTTTTATTTTCACAAGATCACCTAAAATTGTTGTCCGTTTGGTACCCGCTAAGTAATATTTTACTTGCAGGCACCTATGACATTCTTATAGCAGGATACCCAACTTGGGTACCTATGCTCACATGCAGCGATATACTGTTGTTCGCTCAAATTTTAGTGGAAACTTGTTCTTCTCAGGATTCCAGAATAAACGCATAGTTTTAGATTAGAGGAAGTGACCTTTTCTGGGCTTGGTACTAAGATAACACCCTGACCTTAGAAGTGATACTAGACATGATATCAATATAATCCAAAATTGTAAAAACACTATTTTTTGAGGAAGGAAGTCAAAAATATGAAATGTTCGTAAACAAACGTTTAACTGAAAAATCAAAGGTCACGTTTTCCACTTTTTATTCAGGGATCATAAAACTGGGTATGTTCGCTATCTTTCCCTAAAGTAATACTTTTATCTTCACTAGAACAATGAGAAAAATTATTAAGTAAATAAGCCGCTTGAAGATCGATATGAATAAAAAGCAAGCTAATTATTTGATCAGTTTTTAAAATTAAATACGGAAAACGATATAATAGCAAAACATCGTTCTTTGGACTTATTATGAACAAAACACTTATCGTGTTTGAACTAAAACTAGAAAAGGAAAAAAAAGATTTTCAAGCTAAACAAAGTTTCAGAATTATTGTAATAATGTTCATCTTCGAGCTGAAGCTTTGCACAGATATTCTTCTCTGTGTAAATTGCATTGACGATATTACTGCAAACTCTACTGGACTTTGCAGCGGATTTTTCAAAAAACACTGCTTTTTTAAAGAAATTCTTTTGTCTTCTATACAAAAGCATTTTTAAGTAAAATAATTGACATATCAGCTCATCAAACTGCAATGAGTGACGTGTAACAAAAGCAAGAAAAGTTTTGATAGCAAAGATCAGATTTGAATTCCAATGTTGATCAAAAGTCCACAAATAGTTTGTATATGTGTATCATTTCGTAAACATAGTATACCAACATTAATGTAACATAAATATGTCGATTCTGTTTCCATCCATTTGGAAACTTAGCAGTTATCACTATTTTTATTTTCATTCAAGTACGTATGATATCGTGCACAAACATAGAAAAACATAAAAGCTTTAAACTAACTCTCATGTTTAGAGTGAGGTTAAATAAAGCGTTTAAACAACTTAACAAGAATATCATCATGATCAACTTTTCTATGAAACTGTTGTACATTTTGCAGTTACAGTGTGACACGAAAGAGAGACAAACATATGATACATGTACAATGAAAGGAAAAAGAAAAAAACAAACAAAATCATATAAACACATTTTCCTAGAACTGACCTATTGTATGTTTCGCGTTTATTAATACTACAAAAAAACAAAATCAACGACAAAGAAAAGAAGAAGAATATTGTACTTTCAATCAGAGGGTAAGAAAGCTTACCACACATCGAGTACTCAAAAAACAAAAAAACAAGAAAATATTAAACACAGAACATTTTAGCAAACACAACAACAAAGTTTTGTAGTTACAACGTAGAATAAATATCAAAGAGTACGTTTGATCATGCTTGTTTATCCACTGCATATTTTATATTTTATCTAATAACGCTGATAATAGCCTCGACGATTTTTTGTATTTGTGTATGTTGAACGATTGTTTGATGCTGAAAAAATTATAGACTAGTAGCTAAACAATCAAAATTTTTCTTCTGAACATTTGACTTTTTGTTGCTAGTATCTGTCCATCTAACGCAGAGGTATGTAAATTTGATTTTTAAAGCATAAAGTGACAGGGATTTTACGGGAATCTCTCTCTTATCTTTCATAGCAAGGATCTATATTACATTTATATTAGATAATATGCAAATCATTAGTATCACTTACCATCGCCACTAAATTTTCCTCCAGGCGGTTTATAAACAGCTTGTTCAGGTCGAGAAACACGTTTATTTGATATATTATCTTTTGTGTTTCCATTTGCTCCATCTGATTCGGATATTGAACGTTTTAATTCTTCCTTCAAATAAGAACAGTAGATTCCAATCGCATGGAGAAAAAATGAGTTTGTGTAAAAAACAACAACTTACAATAGGTTTCCATGACAAGATGACAGTTGTTTTGAATGATGGTGGAGATCGACAAAGATCTCTTAACAAGGCTTGATTATTTGAACAAATTTTATATGCAATTAAACGTGATTTTTTCTAAATAAAGAGAAGTTTTATATAAAAATAAAAACATTTTTGTACAATACAAACCTGTTCATCTTGATCGTCTGTGTCCGATTTGATATCTATAGCTGCTTTTAATTGATTAGTATAATTTGATAAACCACGATAAAGATATCTTAATCTAGACAAAAATGTGAATTTAATTAAAGAGTGAGATACAAAGATTTCTTGTTGCATTTACCTTAAACGAAAATCTTTCATTTTTTCTTGATTTTCATCAGCTATTAAAAAATCGGGATATTTTCGTGACAGTTGATGTAATGAATACATTAAACATTCGATAAATGAAAACTGAAAATTGGGGGTCTCATTATTTATTGATGATGCCTGTTGTTCTACCGATTCTGGTTGAGGTTTTGGTAAAAATGTCTAAATGGTATGAAAAGTTCGTGTAACTATTGTAATTCCAATACTGGAAAATCAACTTACCAATAAAATATCAAATAGTTTGCCTAAACGTTCTTTTACATTTTCAAATTCACCACAATATGGACACATTTCAGCTAATATACGAAATAAATCTAACTTATCATCGGATGATAATGATAATTTCGGTACATTTTCTATAACATAATCTAACATAAATGTAACAAATCTTGTCGAATGAACGTTTTTCTAGAAGGAAAAAATAAAAATCGGCTAATGATTCCTAATAGCTTGATTCAGTAGATACATATCTCTAATTGTTTTAGTAGCTCGAAACAATAGTTTTAACAATAAACAATATTTAACGTACCGAAAGAAGTGGAACTGCATGATTCATAAATGTTGCTACAACAGCAATTCGTTCAGTGTCTTCACCCTAAAAATAAAAATTTTCTTACACACACTAGTTAAATATAGACTAATAAGTGATTTGAGCATTTGTTGTTATCTACCTCACTTGATTCTACTTTTTACAACAATATTTCAGATTCTTTAAGGGTACCCCTCCCCTCATTTTGCGCTTTCCGCAAAAATGCTTTGAAATAAAACCTAAAACTCACTAAGGCTTCATATTTTCAGAACTGATTGAAAACTCAATGAAGCACTTTTTCATTTTTGTTTCAAGTTTTTAACTATTGTCGTTCACCAGTTTTCCAGGAACCTCGGTTTTTCACTGGATCACATTACAACCGCTTAAATTTCATCCGATCGAGTTAAAAATTTTACCATAGATACTCAAGCTCATAGCGCAGAGGTATGATTTTGGAATTTTATTTTAGATCTTTCTTTACCGAGCTATAGAAAAAACACCGAAAAACTTTCAAAAACCAAGTTTTTAAATTTTACAAACTCTATAACTCGATAAACAAAGGTCTAAAATAAAATTCCAGAATCATACATACTGCGCTATGAGCTTGGGTACCTATGGTAAAATTTTCAACTCGATCGGATGAAATTTAAGCGGTCGTAATGTGATCCACTGAAGCCAGGTAGCAAAAAAATAGTTTTCAAGAAAAAACGCATTTTGTACATAGACCAGTTTTTTCAGGGCATTTGCCGCGATGCTTATATCTCCATGAAAACTCATCAGAAAATTCTGAAAGATGGCTCATTGTGAAGGAAATACTTTCTTCCATCAGACTAAGTGTAAGAAAAATATGGAATATACACAAAAGGAGAGAAAAGTTTATGAATTGTTTATGAAAAATTGAGTTTTTTAGGCTTTGAAGAAAAAACTTCAAAAATGTATAACTTTTTGAAGAAAGGTCATGGAGTGCCAAGAGTGGTCTCATTTTGTAGCCCACACTTCCCTCTACATTAGGCTGTGCTCAGCTCAAAATTCGAAATTTTTTCAAAAAAAGGGTGAAGGGAACTTAACCTCAAATTGAAGCTTTAAAAAATAGTTGCGATAGAGAAATAACACATGATGGTATCGAAAAAAGTTGAACAGGTTTATTAACAGAATCATTGTAACAGAAAGGAACTATTGATAAATCGCGATCTTCGAGAAGAGAGTTTGTGGGAGAAAAAGAAAGATTTGAGCAATAAAATTCTTCTTGTTCAAGTCGAGTTGAATGTCCAAATATAATTTTTAGTACGATTATCGGAATGAGATGGATAATCAAAATGAGAATAAACCCCAAAAGTAGTTTCAATTGATTGTAAATTATAGTTATGGTTGAATTATTCTCGAAAAATGTTTAAGCAGATTTGTCAATAGCTATTTTAGAAAAGATTTTCCAAAACTTTGTCTTACATTCCATCCTTCTTCTAAATGACATTGAGTCGTAATCATATTCACTAATTCTTGACGTGTTAATAATGTCTGCATTGATTTCAAACCAGATAACAGCTTTATGACTGTAACAAATTCTTCAGGATCGAGATAGTTTGCAATCTAAATTGACATAACAGATAACAATATTAGTACATACTGTTTATAACTTCTATGCGAGAAGAAAAACACTATGTTTTTAATTAATTATTCATGGAATTTGCTCAACTCTTCGTTAACACTATTTTTACTTCATATAAGCTTTATTTGATAAGTATAATGTGGTGTACAAAAAAGAGAATGAGATTTTTACTTACTTCTTTGGATTTTTTAATAATATGTTCTTCAACATCTTTTGATAAATCATTTTCATCCAAGGCACCAATTCGTGTACATAGAAAACCTATGTAAATATAAATAATAATTATCATCTGTTTATTAGATGATAAAAAATAATACGTACGTAATGCTCGTTTTCGCAAAAGATCTTCCTGCGAACGTTGTATCTCATTTAATATTTCAGAGACTGTTTCTGAAATTAAAAGTATGAGAATAAATACAACGTATGATACATGTTTGATACTCAATCTTTGCACTACCTATCTGATTCAGATAATAAACAGCTAATAATGAACCTTGAACCTGCGTTATTTCAGTGGCATCGTTAGCTTGTAATAGTTGTATTAAAATTGAAACAACGCGTGGTAATGTTTCTGGGGAGGCACGAACCAATGTTGGAAGTTCTTTAATGGCTTGTTTACGTATCTAAAGTCAAAAGAAACGTAATTTCTAGACAAGAAATACATTTTTATTAATCTTACTGTTATATCTTCATCTTCACATAAATCAAATATTGCTTCTAAAGCTTTGGTCATTTCTGTCGGAAAATTTTTACAAAATCGTCCAATGAATTGTAATGCCAAACGTTTTTCTTTTGGGCCAGCTTTTGTTGCATCGATTAACTTCTGAAATGATTCATGCGCCTAAACGCAGCAAAAAGAAAATAATAAACGTTTTTATTTCAGAAACTATGATGAACAGACCTCAGGTGAGTTATTTGATTCATTTTTATCTGCTAAAATATTATAATATTCGTAGATATGATCAATCGTCACCATAATGAGTTTTACACAGACAGCTTCAGATACGTCCAGAAATTCAATCTAAAATAAAATAAAAGTTTCTATACAAACAGGTAGAATATGTAGTATTAATATTCCAGATGCATGTGCGTAAATTCTGTTCATTCTGCTTCATGGAGGTAATTTCCCTCAGTTTCAGAGATTATTTCATCAATATGTTTATCTAATTCTTCAACTTAACCCTTTCTTGCCCTATGGCACCTATAGGTGCCGTTTTATAAAAATTTAGTTCACTTGAACTATTAGACATTTAGAAACAGATTTTATATCAACTTAAAGCCTATCTATTGTGGACTTCAAATCAACAATCTGAATGTAATCTTTATCATAAAAATATTTTTTTTAACGTTCACTAAAGATTTTTTTTGATGTTCACTCGGATTTGGTTCAAACTTTTCCTGTGTATATTGGAGGCCATACGATTGATGCTATTGAGCCAGTTGTCCTTCAGAACCGTCAGGTTTAGCCAAAGGCAAAAAAGGGTTAAAATCATATAAAAAAGGAAAACATTCAGTTATGTTTGTTCGTACTCAATTGTTTCTGCTTTTGTTGTGTTTTGCGTCTAAGTCCTCTGTACGTCTCTTCGTTGGGTTAAGTTTCACTGGAAAAAAAAGCTTTTTGCATTCCTCAAAAGGACGACAGGAATTTTTCTAGATATCACTGTGTGGCCGTACGTCTAAATTCTGTTTTTATTAAAACCTAAATTGTTAAGAATGAATGTGACAGATAAATTAATCTGCTCCATATCTAGCATAAGGACATTTTTCTACTACACTTGCACATACTCTTGATCAGTCATTATTCGATGTGTCGATACAGAAGCCGGAGGAATAGAAAATACGGTAATTACACAAACAATTCAAGTTAAAGCTTATTTTTTATTCAACTGTAATTCTATCAACATCAAAACACAAAAACAAAATTGTTAAAAATAATCCCTACACGAACAATAACCATCTTTGAAGTGATGAATACGATTTTTATCACGAACAGTTATTTCACATTGTCTGATTCTAGATATGCGTTTTATGGCATCATGACAATCGCCACACATCCGTAGATTATTTGTAATTTGGATCATTTTGGGAGACGAAGGAGAAGAAACGAAATTAAAAGCTAACGCTAGTCTCTCCGAATGGCCAAACAACACAGATTCAATACTTTCTTTACGACCTATAGCACGTGATATCCCTAAATGTAATAAAGTAAATAATACCTTTTACTTTCGTAAGAACAGGGGCCAGTTTCTTAAAAAAAGTCAATTTTCCTACTGAAGTTTTAAACTAAAAAGTATACTTAAGTTAAAAAAAGTTGTATATTTTTTGCTGTGTTTGACTGCGTCAAAAAAAATTAAACAAAAGAAAAGTTTACAAAATGGCTTTAATTGCTATATTAGCAGCAAGAGCATTGAGACAAGAACGTGTTTATTTCGATCGTTCAAATCCCCTGGAATATATGATAGAAAATCAGTTTTTAGCACGTTATCGATTTCTAAAACAAGCAGTAGTAGTTTATTATTAAATGAAATTGAACCTCATCTTCAACATCCAACCTCTCGTAATCATGCAATACCTCCAGTTATTCAACTTTTAACGGCATTACGTTTTTATGCCAGCGTTTGGTTCTTTTATATGGGTGATGATGTGTATAGATTATCTAAAACATCTGTTAGCAGAATAATTTCAAATATTATCGATTTTGTCTGAAAAACCTATTCAAAGTATAAATTTCCAACAACAGTACAATAACAAAATTTTATAAAGCAAACATTTTATCAACGAACAAAATTTCCTCAAATAGTCGGTGTTATTGATTGCACTCCCATTATGATTAAAACTCGGAGTAAAAATGAAGGTATGTGCTTAATGCTATTCGTGTGTTCTTGTTTTCACTCGAGTTTAGCCATACTGTAAGTGCAATCAATAACACCGATCATTTGAGGAAATTTTGTTCGTTGATAAAATGTTTGCTTTATCAAATTCTGTTTCTGTTGTTGAAAAGTTAATCCTTTGAATAGCTTTTTCTGTTAAAGGGAGTTTGAAGTTTACATGTGTTAATTGGAATGGGTAGAGTAGGTCGAAGAGATTATACTCCTCATTTATTTAATCTCTTTTTTTAAATGATGATATAAATTACACTTAGACAAGCATGATAGCACAGTTTTATGCAAACCAGATCCTCTCAGAATCCAAAAAAAAACACTTAGTTTCGGTCGGACGGAATCTGTGCATGATCGTAGCGTCGTTATGCTGCTGTAGTTGGATAGTTAAATGGAGTCAGTCAGGCTCCCATTGAATAACGATGGTGCAACACAATCATCTAATGTTTTTAATATAATAATACCTTCCCCTTCATCAACTAATCTTCAATCTCCTGCTTGTTTCTTGATAATATTTTCATATTCATTACCTTATTTTCTTTACATTTTCGGTGCATCACACAGAAAATATAGGAAAAAAGCAGCAACAAAGACTTTAATTCAATTACATTCTGTAAATTTATACGCATCTCTTCAAACTGAGGGACATTTTGTCGCTCTTTATTCTGTTACACCACAATCTTCTTTATGACTCTTGACAAATTGCATTAAGTTTAGCCGAAGCTCGCCTTCAGCGTACCCTAAGACTCAAGTTTTTTTCTATTTTTAATTCACTTCCTTTTTCCGGTCCAGCTTCTTCCGATTCATAAGAAACTAGCCCTTCCCAATGGTCTATCCAAAACCTCAAACTGATATTTCATTGGCTGTCAAAAAGAACAAATAAAAATTCATTTGTCTGAAAAACACCATTCATAAGGCCAGTTTTTTTTGAAAATGGCGCCTACTTAGCGACCATAGTCGTGTACGCAAATTCAGCAGGGTCTAAACGAAAAATGCCTGAATTTGAGCTTCCAAACTTAGCCTTGTATTAATAATTATTTATTTTCTGGCCTATAAGTATTGATATTTAGTCACACTTTGTTAGAAACAATAAAGTCAGTCTCATGAGACAGTAGATTCTTTCTATAAAAGTTGGCCACGCATCATATTTTTCCGCAATTAACAATCTATCAGCAGCATCCATTTACTACATTCATGCATATTCCTGGGAAGCAAGACATAAACCAAACTCATGCAAGTGAAATAGAAAGTATATAACAACCGTTCCTTATAAAAAAACGTCTTCTGTAGCAAATTACACAATCAAGTCTTTCTCGATTTTCTCTAGCCCCTCCACGTTTTATCTAGACGCTTATATATCGGCCTGAAAATAAATGTTTTCAATCGATGTTTTAAGTTTGTTGTATATATAACAGTATATTTTTTGGGAAGCAATTATATATTGTGGTAGCGCTTGAAATTCTATATTAGTCTGTGCTTTCCTAGCTTGGATTTGAAATTAGTTGCGATCAAAAATTTTGAATATTATTAATGCCTCTCACATATCATAGCCCAAAGAATTGTAAGGAGTACGATCTCTCAGCATTTTCTATTTTTCTCATATTTCTTTAGGATTCAAAGGTTTATGTTTTCTGAAGCAGATACGCCGCGAAAGACTCTACAAAATCATTGCTAAACTTAAATTTCGGAACGTCAATCAAGGAAACTACGCAGATTATACGAAAGACGGAAAAATGGAGAGTTTGAAAATTTGATAATTTTTTCCACTTGAATCTTTTTCTCTTTATATGATTATGATTTACGTAAAAAAGGGTTGCAAAAATGAAAACTTTTTTTGTACTTTTGAATATGCTCTTTCTCGTGATCTATAAGAAAAAAAGAATACTTGAAGAAGCATGGAATGCAATCTATGAAAATGTGATACTTCGATACATTAACAATATTGAAAATATTTGTCAGCAAATAATTGCAAGTCAAGGTCGGGTGAAGTACAGCATGACAGAAATTCAACCGCTATCAGAATATATATTACTTTTGTAAAATGTTATTTCTATGTTCATAATAAATTTAGAGTTTGAGTCATACATCTATTTCTGGGTGAGATGCTGTATCAGGTGATGTGCGTTATCGTCTGCATACATCTTTTATTTTTTAATATAATCATTTTGTTTCTGTTATCAGATCTAACGCGAGCAGTTGTTGAAAGTATTTGACGTTTTCTCTAGTTATCTAGTTATCATATTGATACAGTATTCTCGAGGTGCGACTGTAACATGTACTCCACAACTACGATTATCATCTTGTATTATTCCAAGAACAGCATTACTCCATTCGTTATATGGCATTTGACAATTTTCCGATAAGAAACATTGGAGAGCATGGTTAGGTAGCCCATGGTTGATTGTTTTGTGAATAGCAAATGCTATTTTTGAATAATCGCACCAATCCCAGCTTTCCGGGCAACGACAGCAAAACTGTTTGTTGAGAAACACTTGATAGATGACAGATTTTCTCTACTCGTTTCTAAGTCTAGATAAAATCAGGAAAGGGTAGAGAAAATCGATTTGAAATACTTAGATTGCTTGTACTTATCGAATTTTTTATGCGCTGATCTATATGCTAGTTGCGAAGTGTTTAAGTCAATGTCCAGTCTATCTGGGACTATATGATTAGAATTCCTTTGTGAGTTTTTAACCAAGTTTGAGTGAATATTTATTTCACGTCCAACACACTGGTTGCTATGCGAAGTATTTGAATAACACATGGACTGCATTTTGATAGGTCGAATATCTATTGGTTGAAATTTTAAGGGTTACACAAGTCGACAATCTTGAGATCATTTCTGACGGAATCTTGATTTCAGGGTATTGCTAAAAGACGCGAACACCCACGAACATCCACGAACACCCCCAAATTAAAATCTGAGTTAGGCAATCGATAGAGCTCGTCGAGCTGAGTATAGTAATCCCTAACGAACACCCAAAAATTTTTTCATAGTTTCACTTTTTAAGCATACATTTTGAATGAACACCCACGAACATCCACGAACACCTACGAACACCCAAAGAACACCCACGAACACAAAGAAGAAAGGGTAAGAACACCCAAAAAAGTGTACCA